CATTACATATATATATATATATATATATATATATATATATAATCAAATCTAATCAATATAACTTTTACTAATAATTATATTGTTTAATCTCTTATAATTGTTTTTTCAAATTTACTCTTAAATTAAAAGCTTCTTTTATCTAAATTATTTTTACAAAATTTATATTAATCAAAAGTTATTCAATGCTTTATTTATATAAATCAAAATTGACATAATACATATTTTTAAAAGATAATAAAATATGAGTAATTTAATTAGTATTTTTTTATTATTGTTCATTTTAACATCAAAATAACATAAGTCAACTGCGAGTTCAAATAAAAATTATCTTTAATACTAAAACATATGTGGAGACTGGGGTATCAGAAATTGTTTCTTGATTTAAAACAAAAAAGGAAAATAAACACAACACAGTAATTTTTGAAAAATAAAATGATACATCAAAGCTAAGGCAAAAAAAAAAAGCATGCCTATGATTCCGGAAGCAGAAAGGGGATTAATTGAGTAGTGCAAGAACTCCAAACAAGAAAATTTTGGACATGAACCTATGTAGCTACCCAATCAGTGCAGAAATTTCCTTGCCAAATACGACCAAAAAATTGACTGTCCAAATGCCAGCTGTTAGGTCTCTAATATCAATGGAATTTTTTTTTTTTTTTTCTGGATCAAGAACATGTTTAGATTAGATGCAAATTTTTTTTTTTTAAAGGTTTCGTTATTGAAAATAAAGAACTCATTTTTAGTGATCCGGTCCAAGTTTGGTCTCCCATGATGTGGGTTCAATATTTTACAGGATCATTAAAATCTTAATTGGTGTACACATTATTATATATTTTAAGATATTTTAAAAAATTAATTTATTTGTTAAATTATTTTAAATTTAATTTTAAAATAATTATTTTATTAATTACAGATTTTAAAAACTAATTAATGTTAATTTTAATGAAATATAATAATTTGATATAATTTTAGTAAATTTTAATTAACAAATATTTTAAAATTAATTATTTTTAATTCTCATAATTAATTATAATTACAACGATAAATATTTCCCTTTTATTAATATGACTCACTTCTACATCGGTATGAGTCAGATCATCACTACCCTTTTCTCCATTCTTTCTTTTTGGTTAAGAAATTGTCAATTTTTTATTCTCTTTTTTCTAGATTAAGAACATGTCAATTTTGCATCATGAGACATGCAGGAAGGAGTTGAAATTATTTTGTGTTCTCTAAAGGACTTTAAGTTGTCCAATACAATCTGTTGAATACAGAACTATGAAGAACACGAAGAGCAAGGTGGAGGAGAACTAGATTGTGAACATCACAGATGATGAAAACAAGATTATAATAGTATTTGCGCGAAAAAATCTGGTACATCTATTTTAATTAAATATTGAAAGGCTAGTATTTTGGATTCCAATTCTTTATATTCGTGTTATTTAAATATTTGTTTGATTCATGTTAGTATTTGTGAATCACGGTTAGCACATTGCTAGAGTGGTTTGGATTTATTTTACACTATTGTTGTGATTTATGATGGCCGATTAAATATACTTAATTGTCATCAATATGTTTTACTATAAGTTGAATGACATATATGTGTGTGAATTTTTCTTTGGAGTGTGTGAATTACACGTGAGCTTGGACTAGAAAATTATTGTGCAACCATGTGGATTTATTTGTAATTCATTCTCATTGAATTTTATTCTTTATAATTTATATTGTCGGCGGAACATTACGATTTTGTGATATTTGCTAAATATATCGGTTCAAGGCAAATATAATTGTACGGGTAGGGGCGTTCGGCCACCGCCGGTCGGCC